GAGAGCCCAGCCTCCTGTGACATGCTCACAGCACTCTCCTCCCCCGCTCGGCCTCCTCTGACAGTTTCTCTCTTCCCTGCTGGACCCTGCACTGTGTCAGAAAGGACACAGAGAAGTGCCCAGCATGGAGGAGAGAAACTAGGCATGCACTGCAATTTCGGCCGAAAGATGGTACTTTCGGCATTTTGCCAAAAATGCCATATTCGGCCAATATGTTTTGGCGTCTGAAATTTTGGTGCATCCCTACTTAATACCTACCTTTTCAGCAGACAATTTGTTAAATCTTTGCTCTCTTGAATAGCAAAGGGGACCCCTGCTATCTGACACGTCCTAGTGTGTCAGAACGCTTGGCACTATGGTTTCTTCTGCCAGCTGCTATGCCACTACAGAACATGGGATCAATTTAAGCTGTAAAGTGATACAAGATACATTTAGCTGCTTATAGACAGTAGATGCCAACTAACCATGCAAACAGGTTTAGATGGTGTCTAGGCCAAGTCTTGTAAGAGCAGAGCACTCTATTGACTTACAGGTTCAGCCTAGCATACTAGTAGTTTGCATAGCAATATTTACTTTGCAGCAATTGGTCTACTGATTCGGCAATAACATTGATGTTACTTATGTTACCAAATAGCTACATGTATTATTCTTTGGGGACTAAACTGACTTCCTTTTGGTGGTATTGTCCTCCAAAACTAATTCTATTTCTTATATATTCTGAAGGCAAAAATATAAAAAAAAACTTTTTTCCAATTTGAACATTTGAAATTTTAAAATTGTTTATAAAAAGTGCACACATTCAGCAATTTAAACAACACTAAATCTATGTTTGTGGTACAAATGAACTGCAACAAATATACTGTAACAGTAACATTATAATGTTATAATGAATAAAGCATATACCAGCTATTACAGTCCTCATTCACACAGGAGATGCTGTCAATGCTATTGCCGTACAGAGAAGAACAGACAGGTAGCACTCATTTTACCTCCCAGAACAAGCACAGAAGGTATAAGCAATTGCATACTATATAAAATTAATACAAATAACAGAGAGAATCAGAAAATAGGATTGTATCTTTATAATGCTGTTTCTTTCTCATCATTATTCAGGATTGAGTTAGACAAAAGCATGGGTACATTGTTTAGATATAATTTGGGACATGCAAGCTTCACACCAACCTGCTAACTACAACATCAGTTTGCTATGATGACCAAAATGCTCTCTATCTATTGCTATTGATTTTGCCCTTAAGTGTCTATTATCAGTTACAGAAATTTTGCAGCATGTTAGAGTAATCTGTAGCGAGAGATTTCCTATTCTCTCTTTAAAAAGAAAATCAACACCATTAACAGTCGGTTAGTGTTCCAAAAGCTTCATACTAAAAGCAATACATATTATCTCATTATTAATTAATGAGGCCACCTATGACATTTTTTGATCAATTCGGAGGTGCTGGGAGCAGGATGTGACCATCTGAGCACTGGTTATAATTTTCATAGTAGATATCCCCAGTTTTAAGGGATTCTGGGGTGAGAGGATTTGGAAGTAATCTGAAGCTGTGTGCTGACATCTGGAGGGGCCTGCTATCAACTGCTAATCATGCTAAATCATGCAGTTGTAGAGATTGGCACACAGTATGAATTATCTCCATATCCATAAAAATCTCTTCATATAAGGGGCACAGGCATATGTGAAAAAGGCAATGCAGGAGATTTGGTAGGCTAAAAATGAGTGCATGACTTGTCTAGATCTCTGCTGATGCAACACATAGGCAGTAATGGTTTAATTAACATATACTGTACAGAATATATACATGTAGGGTGAAGAAGGAATTGATTCAGGGTTTAATGACTGGCGTCTGAATATTTAGACCCTATACAATTCTCAAGGGAAAAAAAGGTTTAATTCTCATTTTTCATAGATTATTGCACTGCTTATTCACACTATGTTGTGATTATTATTATTATACAGGATATATATAGCGCCAACAGTTTGCGCAGCGCTTTACAATATAAGGAAGACATTACAATCACAATACAATTCAAGACAAGATGGTAAGGAGGGCCCTGCCCCTGAGGGCTTACAATCTAAAAGGGAGGGGCAAGTAATACATGAGGAGGTAGCTGTGTGGGGATAAATTGTTTGAGAAGGTGATGGTAGAGTGGTTAGGGTGAGGTGGGATAGGCTTCTCTGAAGAGATGAGTCTTAAGGCATCACCTAAAGGCAGTCAGAGTGAGAGATAGTCGGACAGGTTGGGGTAAAGAGTTCCAGAGGATGGGAGAGACTGTATAGAAGTCCTGGAGGCGAGCATGGGAGGAGTTGACGAGGGAACTGGAAAGCAGGAGGTCTTGGGAAGAGCGGAGGGGGCGGTTAGGATGATACTTTGAGACCGGGTTTGAGATCTAGCCGGTGGCAGAGTTGTGGATGACTTTTTAAGTGGTTGTTAATATTTTGAATTTTATCCTTTGGGCTATTGGAAGCCAGTGGAGGGATTGACAGAGGGGGGTTGCAGACACTGAGCGGTTGCTCAGGTGGATGAGTCTAGCAGCTGCATTCATGATAGACTGAAGGGGGGATAGCCTGTTTAGAGGTAGGCCAATGAGGAGGGAGTTGCAATAGTCAAGACGAGATATGACAAGTGAGTGGATGAGTAGTTTAGTGGTTTCATTGGTGAGGAAGGGGCGTATTTTGGAGATGTTACGAAGGTGAAGGCGGCAGGATTTGGATAGTGATTGGATGTGGGGAAGAAAGGTGAGGTCCGAGCCAAGGATGACACCTGTGACCTTGGCATGGGGGGAGGGGTGGATAGTTGTGTTAACAATCTCAAGGGAAAAGTTGGGGGAAGGTGCACGGGCGGGAGGAAATATCATGAGCTCAGTTTTTGAAAGCTTGAGTTTTAAGAAGTGTTGTGACATCCAGACAGATATGTCAGTTAGTAGATTAGTGACATGCAAGGACACTGAGGGGGTGAGTTGTAGAGTAGAAAGATAAATTTGAGTGTCATCGGCATAGAGATGGTATTGGAAGCCGATTATACAGTCGAGATGCATGGATTATGCAGTTGAGATGAAAAGGAATCTTTCCAGAGACTGATGATTTTTAATATTGGAATGGAGATCCTCCCTGTATGGCCAAATGTGTCAATGAGGATTAACTAAGGAAAAAAAGGGCATCCAAAGCTATCAGTCTGGTATCTACCATTTCCAGACTTTGAATAGCAGGTGCTAAGATGTGGAGAACAAGGATCATTTCTTGTCTTGAGAGCCATCTCCACCTTTCAAACAAACACAGACATCTACTTATCAGTAACAAAGTAGCATTGGTGGTACAAACAAATAACTAGCGTCATCAAAGACAAGACAGCCAGCAGTGGGAGCACACTGCATCACATAAACACTATTATTCTTATCTGATAAAACAACAAACAAAAACAATAAAAACAACCAAACAGGCAACCTGTCTTAAATAAACAATATGTCAAAGAATAGCTAAAAGCTTGCTATCATTTTTGGACTTACCTGGGACTATCCCTTTATAGCTGCTATAGATAACATGAGCTTGACATACTAATTTTTATAGGTTTATGGGTTTTTTCACTCAACATCTTAGAAATGTGAAGATGGAATGTAGAAGCCACATTTCTTTTTACACCTAGGCCTTTTAATCTGCCCATAAATCTAAGCAAATTATGTGCACATTATTTCTATGATTTTCTTTTTTGCAGAGATTACTTTTTTAACATACAAATTACATGCAATTATATATATATAATTTAGTTGTTTTTTGTTTTTTTTTGCAGTATAGTGAACTATTTTTAAACTGTTTACTCTTTTGTCATGTAATCTTTTTAGATTATGAATAGGAATATCCTTTTTTATCTGGACCATACTAATACTTTTTATTATTCACCTGTTTTGTTTTCTGTTTAAAATAGCCTGAAAAGTGCTAAAGCAAAGTAAAATCAAGATAACTTTATAAACCCTCAAAATCTGATTTATGATTAAAGCGCAGATTTTGGCATGATTAAAAAATTTGAATAAAATGATTATTTTTCAAAGTAACTACTTAACTCTCAATAACAATTTGATTGCAAGCCCCCAAGTATGTATTCTCAGTGAAATGTTTGTATTTTGCTATGCAGTGTTTTGTTTTTTTCACAGTAGTATGTAATTTGTAATTGTAAATTATGTAAAACACAAAACTGAGTTGTAATTATAAAAATCCATTAATGCATTAGCAGCAAAGTACTAAAGGAGGAAATATTCATGAATCAATGCACATTGCATTGAATGACAAGATGTCTGCACAAACACTGTATGCAGGAAACTAAACATTATGAAGGGTAAAGATGATATGTGATGCTTATCTCACTTTATATGGTAATTAAACAGCAAGAACTCCAGACCATAAACAGAAGGCAGTGCACTGTAGTAAGTAGCAGGAGTAGTAAATGTTTTACATTTCATAAGTGCATTTTTTGACACATATAAAATCATTGCTCAGCTTTAATATACATGTGGGTTATCTGTGAAATAATTTTTTTAGTGTTTGTGTTTTAGTGCATGCAATGTATCAAACATAAAACACACTTTCTGCTAAAATAAGAACACTTTGCCCTACTTATTTTGCAATACAGTCCTTTTTTAAACATCTATAAAATTTTACAGTGTTAAGTTTTAACTGCATTTTGTTCCTTTTTTGTACTGACATAATTTTGTTAAATGCTTTTTTTCACTGTTAGGACTTTACCTATCCTAAATCTGTTATGAAACATTAGTATTTTTTTAGAGAACTTGAAAAAAATATTCCATTCATTTGAAAGATAAACTCTCATAAATTTGAAATGGGTTTATAGGCTGCCAGCATTCCAAAAAAGGACTATCACTTCATCTCCAGCCAGTCAGTGAAAGCTGGGCGGAGCATATTCAAAAACCTAGCTACTGACAGGTGTATAAGAAGTGCTGAGGAAGGGCACAGGTGATACACCTGTTTCAGGGACAGTTGCAAGCACAGGTGCATCTGGCTCTCTAGCCTACCAGCTTTATATCATGAGTGCCTTTGATCCACAGACACATTCTCCACCTCGCTGTGGACCACAGTTTCCAAACATTGGGCAAGAACCTCCAGAGATAAATATCTACTGTGACAGCATGTTCCACCCTCAGACTATGCCTAGTCCTCAACGACCTTCAAATTTTGAGACTGGAGATTACAGCACTACTGCAAATCCCTACCTGTGGCTGAATGGGCCATCCATCACACCACCTCCCTACCTGCAAGGATCCAACACCAGCCATTTCATGCCTCAGTCATATGGGATGCAGAGGCAGCTTTTGCCTAACATGCATGGCTTAGGAGGATCTGAATTAGGCTGGCTTCAAATTCCATCCCAAGAAGAACTCATGAAATTGGTGAGACCACCTTATTCCTACTCAGCCCTAATTGCCATGGCAATACATGGTGCTCCAGATAGAAGACTGACACTCAGCCAAATCTACCAGTATGTTGCGGACAACTTTCCTTTCTACAACAAAAGCAAAGCTGGCTGGCAAAACTCTATCCGGCATAATTTATCCCTAAATGACTGCTTCAAAAAAGTTCCGAGGGATGAAGATGACCCAGGTAAGTGCCTTTTTTTTACCAATTTTATGACATTTAGTGACATCTCCTAATAATAATATATTTTCTTATTGTTGATATAAAACATCTTTCCTATAAGTAATTATATATCTGAAACTAAGTGCTGTAATATCATTCTTTAAACTGTAGATGCTTCAGTGTGCTTAAAAAAATTCAAAGCAGTTTAAACAGTAATAGGAACTATGAGGAAATGTCTATGCATCTTACTTGTAGATTGATGCTTTGTGTATTTCAAGAGTGAAAGAATAGCATGTTAGAGTCATTTTTTGTTTTCTTTGTTTTTCTAGTTGATCATTACCTATTGCTTTGTCTGAAACTGTATTTCATCTGCCCAGCCACACATATCATAATCAGTGAAATATTGCATGAATCCTGCTAAAAAAAAGTTCAGATGCTTGTAAAGTAGACATACACATATGATCTTTAAGCTTTTGTATCTGAGATGAAAAAAAATACTAAGCATTATATTTTCTGTTGCTAGGAAAAGGAAATTACTGGACTTTGGACCCAAATTGTGAAAAAATGTTTGACAATGGAAATTTCCGCAGAAAGAGAAAGAGAAAGTCTGATACCACTGGACAGCTAACCTCTGATAAAACAGAAGGGAGTTCACTGCCTGACAGCCCAAAAAATGGAGAACATCAAGACATGCTGGAGAGTTCCTCACCGGGAACTGATGACTCAACTGAAAAAAGACTATCTCCACCCGCCATAACACCATGCCTTAACAATTTTCTCTCTAGTATGACTGCTTATGTTAACAATGCCAGTTCTGTCAGTAGATCAGTACCACTTGGACTCAGTAATGAAACATCTGACAAAATGTCACAGAACACAGCTGGTTTCAGCACATACTCACCACTTTCAAACATACCAAGCCATGGAGGATCAGACTGGTCCTCTACTGTGTCGTCAAATCCCTTTGGTTACAGTAGTTCTTTACTAAATCAGTTCAATCCCCACTTTTACAACAGCATTACAAACAATACCCTTTTCTCCCGAGAAGGAACAGAGGTATAAGCATCAGAATAAGGTATAAAAACCTTACAGTATACTGTAATGAAGTATACCTTCATCAACAGATAAGAATCACTGTACCAGATAATCTGAATGTTTGTGTATGTGTACTGTATTTATGGATACACACAAGCTGATGGTCACACAAACATACACACAATGTATGTACTGCAGACAAGCATAGCATAAAAATCGTTTTCTGTAGTTAACTGTTCTTCAGTCACATTGAACTGCCCTCTAGTTACACACTGCCATTTACTGCTTTACATTCTGTAGTGCATACATTTTAGAGATGCTGTAGTTTCAAAGTAGGTATATTTATCTGAATATTACTGTGCAAGATGATGCAAATTCTCACTGTGTTGAAAGGCAAAGCTTTAGCTGAGAAACAGTTGTTATAAGGTCTTTTTCTACAGCCTAAACTTATAGATGTTTACTGTGGAATAATAAACCTGGGTAGGGGCAACTAATGTGGTGCAGAAGTGACTTTAATACTTTGTCTTTCTTTTTTAATATAAAATATTTTATATATTGCATCAGACATCACTGAGGGGAAAGGGTTATTTTGTAATAAAATGTTATCAAATTGATTAAGCTTGTGTATTTGTTTTTGTCAGTAGCATGTAGAACATCATAATCATCTCTTGTATGTTGCTACTATGACCAGACTGGACTGAAGTTAGAACTGTATTACACATGTTTACTATATAATTACATAATGTTGAGGTTTATTCAGTGCAACAGGGCAAAAAGCCTGTACTAACGGCAAACTTCAGTAACCTCTTCATCTTACCATAATCTACCTTGTAATGATCTTACTTCAGACTGATGAACTAATGGTCTGGGTTACTGCACTTTGCACCTAGCACTTTGCTTATTGCACTGTTTGTACAAAATCGACTATTTACAGGCTTTCTTTAATAAATTACACTTGGAACATAAAAATATTTATGCACATTAGTAGAACCATAGAGGAACAGCACGTGCAGTTGTAAAAATTTAGAGGAGAGGGGGACATTGCACCGACCAATTAAGTCCTTCAATCTGGTATATCAAGAGAAAACTAACCCATGGGGCCTGACCTCTGGAGGTCCCTAGGCTCCTTCAACTCTACACTAATCTCTAGGAATGCTGAATTTACTAAACATCATTTCGTATTATGGATCCACCTATCTCTTTGATCCAGTTGTTCCAGTGTTCCCAGTTAAAAGCCTGTGATCCTTCATCTCCTAGTAGCAACAGGACCTCAAATTTAAAGACTCATTTTAATAAAAAATATATAATATTTATGCACATGAATAGCATAAATAAGCTTCTTTGATGCAGTAAACTGCATTGGTGAAAAGAAAAATGTATTGATGTCATCATGCCGCATAAAGACATAATTTGCTATAGGACTGTGCTAGACTAGCCACACTCCCATTCTCATAGCATGATTATTAAAATATATCTGTGTTTGAACTGTCATAGAAATTTGAACTAAACATGGGTATATTTCAAAATGTTATATGTGGGGATAAAACTACATATAATTACATGAATTACATATAATATAATACATAGTGGTCAATGAAACACATTAAAACATCATACTAATGCATAAAAAGAAAAAGAAAATCTTGGACTTGAGACTTCCACTATAGCTAGTTATCTTTGTTGTCAGCAATCTGACAAGATGCTGGAGATTGTGCCCTGCATTATATTAAAATAAAGCAATTTAATTTCATGATGTAAAACTATCAATAGTCACTAGAAGACCATCAAACATGCAGGTATCCATACCAATCTGTGTATCCCTAACACAAGTATTCCCAGTAAGCAATTATTCATGTATAGAGCTTTGTAGCAAAACAGGGAGAAGGACAGGGACAACAGAGCACAGGTGCCTCTGGGCAACTTAGCAGAAAGAGAACTCTAATCCGGCCAATGAACATCAAGCAAAAGTGTCTGTGGGTGCCATACAGACATCAGATCTTGTTGAAAATGGCCAGAGAGGGAACTGTCATCTAATTTTAGATGTGTACCTGAAATAAGTGCCTATCTCCATGTATGGTTTATTTGTTTAGAAAACATAATGATAAATAATATAATATGATCAAATCAACTTAATTTACCAAAGGTCGTTCTTTAGTAGCATATGGTACACTGTCCTGTTGATGAATATTTGTAAGGTCACAGCCAGAATCCAGACTAACATCATCAGTTATCTAAATCTTCCATTAGCATGTCATCGTGACAACACGTTCTTTTCTTGCCCAGTAAAAAACGAAGGGATGCATTCTCTCCATGTTGACATAAAAACAAGAGTAAAGCAGGGAGACAGGCTCATTTATCATTACAACTACAGAACACAACTATTATTATATAAGCATACTGCAACTGGGTGAAAACACATTTTTCAGTGATTAGTAGATTCAAATTTGAAATGATTTAATAAGCAATAGTGTGAAACAATATTTTAAACCCATTGGATGATTCATTGCTATAGTAAATGTACATCTGAATTCAAATGTTTTGTTTGCATAGATGTTGGTACCAGCATAACAGCTAAACATAGTGGTATAGAGGTCATTCTGCATTTTCTGATCTGCTATGAACTGTTTCACTGCTAGAATAATTATTCATTGTATTTCCTTGAAACTCTGTGTAGGAGGAAGATTAATTTTGTAGAAATGTTTTATAAAAGTACACGGCTTGATATGTCTACTTTTAAATACATTTTTTAAGAAAATATGTTTTTGTACTGGGAACCTAAAATACCATCCTTTAAAACATTTACACATATACCAGGTCCCTCTGTGATGTAGGCAATGATCTAACTATGAACGTAAAAAGAGAAGCAACCCATAGGAACCACTCAGAAATACATTTTAATTGGTGGCTGGCTGAAGCTATTATATATTTGGCTACTATGTATTACCGCTTAAAAAGCTTACATTACTAAGATAAGAAACCATGAGCTTTTCTTATGAATGACACTTCCGAGTAAAGAAAAACCCTAATTAGACTTTTTTTCATTATGCAAATGTTAAAGATGCTTACAACTATGGATGGGCTTCAAGGTCGAGCCAACCATGAGTTTGACCAAAACCCAAGTCATTTGCAGTTCAGGAAAAAGGCAAACAAAAGCAACCATTAGCCGCTATAGCAACCAATTTCCAATAATGCACTTACTGACCTCTGAGCTGTGGTAAATTAGAAGGGCCAATCAAGGGGGTTTTATTATGTGCCAGCCCCCCTATAAAAATCATGGTTCCCAGCAGCCTTTTTTCAGTGTGTTAGAGACTTGGAGTAGATGGGGATAGCTGACAGAGTGTTTGCAGGGAGAAACAGAGGCTATACTACTATACAGTGCTATATTTACAATCAATCATATACTCAGTCAGTGGTAGTTGGAGAGTCGTGGAATAGAGAACACACAGAGGGGAATTTATCAAAACTGGAGCAGACAAAATCTGGAGCAGCTGTGCATGGCAACCAATTATCATCCCTCTTTAATTTTCAAACCTCAACTGAACTAACTGAAAAGAGAAGCTGATTGGCTGCCCTGGGCAACTGCTCCAGATTTTGTCTGCTCCAGTTTTGATAAATTCCCCCCATAGTGTTTGCAGAGATAGATAGTTGCTGCTGTACTACACAGTGCTGAACAGTGCTACACCCAGTGCTGTATTGTACTACATGAAAGTGAATTGCATTGTGGTGTACTACGTACAGGCCCGGATTACCTACAAGGCCACCGAGGCCCGGCCTCGGGGCGGCAGATCGCAGAGGGGCGGCAGCGGTGACCTTGTGGGGAAGTTGCGGGCGCCAGTGTAAGGAGTTCGCCGGCCGGCGGCCGGACACACTACGGTCCGCCGCCGTCCAATCACGACGGGGCGGCCCGAGGCTCCACCCACCGGCTCCGTAGTGTGCAGCCGCCGG